AAGTACAAATAAAATAATTTTCCACAAATTAAATAAGATAAAATTAAGAAAAAATATTTTACTTCTAGTTCACTTTTTTTATTTCGATGTCTTAAGTTTTATAACCATATATTTTTATTAAAAAGTAGTATTTGCAAAACTTATATACTTTTGATCTGATTATTTGAACCTTTTTTTATTGTATTGTATGTAGGGATAGGCATCTCTTTTAACTAAAAAATCATAACTGGGTCCCAATATTTAACTAAAATAAAAATTACCAGTAGATTACTGGATTTTGCCAGTTTCTCATGGTCTACTGGTTTAATAAAAATTCTTCTAGTTTTTGTACAGTTTAGAAAATTCTCTAAAATTGAGTAAATTTTCTAAAAAAATATCCCTTTTGAAATAGAATTTTCGCTCAGAATATTTAAACACATAATAGTTGACGCTCTCTTGAGTATTTAAATAAGTAGTACTAATACATAATGAAGCATGCCGCATTTATAGAAATCAGTTCAAAACTTTTTTTGTTCTAAAACTTTCAGTTTATTTTATTCAGAATTCCCTTTTTAAATCTTTTAACTATCTCTTTGATGAATTAAATGCCTATTATTATTCAAAATTATGAATAAACATAATGCATAACATTTGAAGTTTATTTAATGATAAACATAACTTAATAATATTGCAGTTTTCCTAATTTGATGATTCTAGAATTCCCTATGTGTAAAATATTTAATACAATATGTAACAATTATCAATTATCAATTCTCTGAAATCTACTGAATTTTTTTCCTATCCATGTTGGCAGCTATGCAATGCTAAAAAAATCCCATTTGAAATAGAATTTTCGCTCAGATTATTGCTTGCTTGAATATTTAAATAAGTATTACTAATACAAAATGAAGCGAGCGTCATTTACATAAATCAGTTCAAATTGTTTTTTGTTCTAAAACTTTCAGTTTATTCAGAATTCCCTTTTTAAATCTTTTAACTATCTTTGATGAATTAAATGCCTATTATTATTCAAAATTATGAATAAACATAATGCTTAACATTTGAAGTCTATTTAATGTTAATCATAACTGGATAATATTGCAGTTTTTCTATTTTGATGATTCTTAAAATCCCTAAAATTCCCTATTTGTAAAATATTTATAGTTTGTCTAAGCTAAAAATTCCTCCTGCCACAAAGTCTAAGGCTGTCTGGTGCTATGGAAACAAGAATGGTGCATTTTTGGGAGGGTAACTTCACTCTAGGACTAACACAATATACCGAAGAGATTCCCTTTCTCTCGCCTACCCGACCCAAAACCACTCCAAAACAGTGACCCCGCACCCCTACTTGAAATAGTTATACCTCGTCACCATATTTACCACCACTGGTCCAGACTAATGTCTGGGGGAGTTCTAATTTTAGACAAACTGTAGTACATTATGCAACAGTTATCATGAAGTTTATTTTATTTTCTGAAATCTACTGGATATTTTTCCTATCTATGTTGGCAGCTGCAGTTGGCCAAGATTTTTAAACTTGCCTTATGGGAGGGGAAAGTTTTATTTAATTATGTTTAACTAATACTTATATAATAAATTTTGTAGGCGTATGTCAGATTCCATTGATAAAAGGTTCTGTTTTGACATCATATGTGAAGACAAACCAGGTGTTCTTACTTTTCAAGCATTATCTGAAGAAGATAGACATTTGTGGATGGATGCTATGGATGGAAAGGAACCAGTGAGCACTTTTTTTGTCGTTACTAAGATATGTGTTTATCAAAAATAAATTTTAATTGTACTCAAAGGAAATTAATATGAGAATTTTACTGGCGTAAGAAATTAAGAGAATTGAAAGATTTGGTCGATTATTTCTAGAACTACTGAACCGATTTTAATGAAATTTGATCCATACATGTATTGATACAATACAAAACAAATAACCATTCAACAATTGTAATACACGTGCATAGTCGTGCCTAACACTCGTTGGTGTCGTAAGGTATAGAATTGCCTCAGGACAAATCAGGCCAATTGCCGCAGGAAATAATAAACTGCCTTATTTTAAATATGAAATCACACTACAAGGCCTGCAAGAGGGGACCATACCACCATATTAACCCATTTTTTTTTGTTATTCTGCTACCGCTGTTTAATACCTTCGAACTCCAGCGAGTGTTGCGCATGATCATGAGCATGTATTACAATTGTTGAATGGTTATTTGTTTTGCATTGCATCGATGTATGTAGATATCAAATTTCATTAAAATCGGTCCAGTAGTTCTAGAAATAACCGACCAAGTCTGCAAATTCTCTTGATTTCTAACACCAGTGTATATTTTTCAAGTTCTTTATAATTTGTTGTAATTTTATAGAAATTTTTTTGTTTTCTTTGAAGTTTCTGTTTTAGAAATTGCATGAATCTCACAGTTGTAATTTGTATATAAAAATTATTACTTATTGTGATAAAGATAAATTTTTTTTTATTCATATTAAAAGCTTGCTCTATTTAGTCTGTAATTTTCTAGCATTTTAAATGTTTGTTACATTGGTCACTGAAAATTAATAAATGTGTGTATAAATTTATATTTGTTTCATTGCATAATTAAGTTTCAATTTTTGTTTTATTCGAAAGTTTTATACAGTGATGCTTGTATTCTTCTTTCCTTAGGCTTACAGTCAAACTGGGAAACTACCAAAGCAAGAAGAGTGTAAGATTATTTATTGTTTCTGTATTCATTTTTAACATTTTATTCTTTCCTTATTTACTAAAGACTGAAACTGATGTAACTCTTAATATTGTTAGGAAAAAGTGATTTCAATAATTGTTTTTGTATTATTTATTTCAGTTTTTTTATAACTGATGAATAATATTTTATACAATGATATACATAAACAAAGTGTCTAAAAATAAATGAAAATTTGAAAAATCAGTTATAGAAGAGAGACCGTGATATAGATACTTGATTTCCTTCGTTCTGCTTAGGAAAAAGAAAATCTGTTTCCCTAAGTACTAAAATTAGCTACGAAACTCATCAGAACAAGGCAATTCTGACTGAAAAAATTCTAAAACAATGATTTCTGCTGCATGTCAGACTATTCTAAATGAAATATTTTCATAGATATTTATTAATTTTCTCCTCAGATATCCTTAGATTATTTTATTTTATAACCATCGTACCTAACCATCAACCCTAAGTACTAAAATTAGCTACAAAACTCATCAGCACAAGGCAATTCTGACTGAAAAAATTCTAAAACAATGATTTCTGCTGCATGTCAGACAATTTTAAATGAAATATTTTCATAGATATTTAATAATTTTCTCCTCAGATATCCTTAGATTATTTTATTTTATAACCATCGTACCTAACCATCAACCTTACCATCAACCCTAAGTACTAAAATTAGCTACGAAACTCATCAGCACAAGGCAATTCTGACTGAAAAAATTCTAAAACAATGATTTCTGCTGCATGTCAGACAATTCTAAATGAAATATTTTCATAGATATTTATTAATTTTCTCCTCAGATATCCTTAGACTATTTTATTTTATAACCATCGTTGAAACCATCGTTGCCGACCTAATTTTTGGGATTACAACTATTAATGTTCAACTCTGTAATTTTGAACTCAATCCCGAAGACAAGGGAACCCCTGCCTCCAAATACTGAAAGAAATTTGCCTTCGTGGATGACTCTTTGATGGAATTAACCCGTATTTGCATTACATGGAAGGGGAAACCTCCTACGGTTGGCCTCATGGCAAAGGGACTCTAACCTATGATCCGTCTACCACTGAGCCTATTTTACGTCAGCTTTGTGCTCGGAGCAAGCTGGTTGCAAAATTCGTATTGACCTGCCAACACTGGAATTCAAATCCGATTCACCTCATTGGAAGGCGAACCCATTATCCGCTAAGCTACCACGGCTCAGCATTATGTTATTGTAATATGTAGTTATTTTGCAAACATTGTTACATAGTTTTTGTCAATTAGCAGATATGCATTTGTTTCCTACAAACTATACATTACTATTTCTATTTTATTTTCCTTATTTGATTTTCAAACTATCTCTTATGTGGTTAAGGTGTGGGACACCTCTTATGTGGTTTATTTAAAAAAATATCTCTTTGTAATTTTTATATCCAAAGAAATCTAGCTAAAGATACAAAGTTTTGCATATGTATGCTTAAGAAATGTAGTACAAGTTCATACCAGCATTTTCTCTTCCCCGTCTAAATACCCCTGGACTGGTAGAGTAGAGTAGTTAGTATCATCATATGCATATTTGTTTTGAACAAATTCGCAGAAAAGTTCTCTTGCAGAACATATTGCATACAATTAGGTTGTTTTTAAACACAAAGAACTGAATCACAAACTTTAAGAGGTAAAGCAACAAACCAATCATACACAAACAAATGACTTGTGTGAAATCCTTCAAAAATAACCACACTTTCTGTTAGGAACTTAACATCAGATTTCCCATAACTGAGTAAGAAACTGAGTGATGTAATTTTTAAAAAAAATCAAGCCAAATTCATAAAGCTTACTTTCTATAAATTTTTTTGAAATGCGGCAAAGTATTGATTTTATCTATGCAACTATGCAAACTACATTATCTTAGCATTGTTTGTGTATGCACAATAAAGGTAAGATGTTCTTTGAGCAGTTGAGAGCAGAATTACTCTTAGCAATAGTTTTATAAAAACATTTATTTTTTTAAGGAGAATTCGAAGGTCACTTGAAGTCTGCATTGTTTTTATCTTTATTGTTTATATTTAATGCATTATTTCTATTTATTACCTGTTGCATTCATCTTTTACTAATAAAATTGTGTTTCAAAAAAGAAAATTTAATATTACTTTATAATGTGATGTAAATTTACCTCATTTAATAAGTGTGTCATCAGAGCAACTTTTTGTTGGGCTCTTCTTGTTTTCTGGGTTCAAAGTTACTAGGTTATATCAAGCTTTAAAAAATTTATACAATCAATCTTGAAATAAGAATTGTTTTATAAAGATTCATTCAGCATATAATAATTTTTTTTAACAGTTTTGCATTCAATAAAATTTTTGTATAACAAATTTGTTTAAAAAGTTTTCATTTATTTACAGATTATCTTGATGAAGTGGGATTCTTTTTTGTTCAGCAGTGCATTGATGCTATAGAAATCAGAGGCTTGGATGATGAAGGATTGTATAGATTAGTTGGTGTTAACTCTAAAGTTAATAAACTTACTCAAATGGCATTAGGTAATTATATACTCTAAAGAAATCATACTTTAAGAAAACACTGAAAATTTTTGCATTTCTTCACCAAATTTTTATTGTTTCCTAATGTGTAAAATAGACATTTAGGTTTATGTGTAAAATAGGCATTTTGGTTCAGTAAAGGCATCACTCTCCAAGGGTGCCGGTAACGGGGTGCAAGAGGGTGCACTTGCAGCCCCCTGACTTTTTTTTTTAAACAATTAAAGAGATACAGAAAAACAATTTTGTTATAAATTTTTTTTATTGAAAATATTTTTATTCAAAAACAAATAATTAGTTAATTATTGACACATAACAATTAAAAAATTGTTTAATCAAATTGTAATTGTATTGTTCGCTGTCAAAATCTGTTTATAACTTTTTCAATGAATTTTGAGTCATCTTTGATTCTTTTCTTATGCACACTGAGCATGCACAAACTTGGCAGATATCTAAGCTATATTTTTAAATTTCATTTAATAAAATGTAAATAATATTATATTTTCTATTAGTTATTTAGTTTAACAAAGGTGTATAGCACTGACTTCTCACAACTGTAAAACTTCATCAACACAATAAATACCAATTGTTAAGAGTCCACAGACACGTTAGTATACGAAACTACTGTTTGTAGTTATTTGTGTTTCAAAGTCAGTCAAAGCCAGGGCCATCAAAACAGTTTCTCGTGAATGTTCTCGTTTCTTGAGAATTTGCAAGTACAATAAATTCATACTTTTTTTTAAATCTTGAAAAAAATTAACAGATGAAAGT